ATTAAGTATGATGCAAAAAAGTTGGCAAAACCATAAAATACATGCAAGTATATGAGAGTTAAGAAGGTTTACTTTTATTATTAGATATGATTAATTTCCGTAAATAAATATGCAAATTTCGTTCTATTTTTCCTTTTTAGTTCCTGTGAATATAGATAAAAATCGGAAGGGTTCATGAAGGATAGAAAACGATTTTAGAAAAAAAAAACCGAAACTATGGTTTAGCCAACTATGCAATGTTACAATGAGGAAGAAACTTGAAAATAAACTAACATTAATATGGTTTTAAAGATGAAGGAATGAAATAACCGACCACCCCACTGGATCCCAGTCTGGTGTTATTCCAAAATATACACAATAATATTTTCCCTATTCACCAAAACTTTGCTTCGTATGAACAGTTAGTTAGCAATCGGTTTTTATACAAATTAACTTGAAATATTAAAAGATTTGCGCAACCAATGTTTCATTTCTTTGGAATTCGTACTGATATGAAAATTAGCGATTCTTTCCATCGGAAACACCACACCGTGACCATTTGCGTGAACCCGTTTACACTAGTAGATGAGCGGTGATTTCATTTTAAACTTCATTACACAAAATGAGAAAAGGATGAGTATAGAGTATTTTTAAGGAAGCACAAACAAAATAAAGAGGAATAAGGGAGATTTTAAGGATTTAAAGGTGCATGCATGTACAATTATAGGGATATTTCCGTATTTTTGAAAAAGCCTCGTAAAAAGGAGGAAATAATCCAGGTTTTCAAAGTCATGTAAGTCTGTATAATTTTGTGATGCCTGAAGAAATTGTGGAAATTATGAGAGAAGAGCATCTGGAAGACCAATTAATTGTATATGACACGAATAAATGATAATAAAAAACAGTAGGATACCAGTTACTGGATTTAAGAAAAATATATTAAAAAATCAATGATGAAAGACAAATGCATCGAAAGACGACATAGATAAACAAGAAATAAAATGTTGCATATTTAGGACTTCTTTAGAAAGTCTAAACAGTAAAAGAAATCATTGATGTACAACCTTACAAGTAAGTTCAAATGAATGACCATCAGCAGTAGAAATAAAAATGAGGAATTAACTAGAGAATTAACTAGAGTAAAAATGAGGAATTAACTGAACTAAATATCAAGGCTTTTTGAATTCCAGAAAAATTTTACTAAGCAAAAAACCAAACAGCTTAGTTGGTAAGAGACTTGTTTAAAGCTTGGAATGGCAATAAATTTCAAAAGAAGCTACCATAATAATTGTGATAATGAATAATTACTTCTACTACCAGAATGATTATCTATTTATGCTTTTGAAACACATCAAAAGATCTCGTCTAACTTCTTACTGCTTATACAAACGATATAAAAATTTATGAGATAGACCACACTTTCAACAGAAGAGGTCATGATGTAAGCTAATTAAATGATATACTCTAAAAAAATACGAGACAAAAAGCAAAAATTCAGTAAAGTGACTGGTACTGATAAACCCCCGTATCACTATTACGAATTCGGCGACCTTACGATAAAAGTGTGATGAGTATTATTTTGAGTGATACCATATGAAAAACAGACTAATGACCTGAAAGCACTAAAACATTTCCACTTTTGGTGCCGATGTGCCTCCACCTTCCTCTTGATTGAATATTATCATACTACTAACACCACTAACAGCGGTAAGCAGCTTGATGACGAAGATATCTGCACACCCAGCACAGGCCCGTGAGTATTTCTTGGCCTCAGCAATAGCGAACATCTAGAGGCACAAGGTTACCACAAAGTTTGGGGATTTGATAAGCCTGAAATCATTCTACCTTTTGCATTTTTCAATAATCTATATAAATGATACATATGCTTTCGGAGTGAAAAATGAAATGAATATTTGCTACTCTACAAATTTTCATAAACTACGCTTTAAAATAGCATGAATTTTAATAAATACTTATTAAGAATAAAAGAATTCAAAGTGAATAGTATCTTTAAACCTTTTAAAACAGTGAAAGATATCATTAAAAACCAGCTTCTGAAATTAACAAGAAACAGGCTAAACCCGGCCTGAAACCCGACTTGTTTTTCACAGCATTCCCTGAAAAATGAATTGCTCACTAACATAAGAAGCGTTAAATTCAATGATGTTCATTACGATTAACGAAATATTAGAATCCATTTAATTCTGAATGTCGCAAGCTCACGAAGGATATAGACTTCAGCAAATAATTTTAAGCGTTTAATGCCAACAAGAAGTGAATTTCAAAAATGATTTATTTAAGCAATTTTTTAGATAAATAAAGTACAGTTATTTACAAACTCAAAAATTTTGTTTTCACAGCCTTCCAATGACAACAACAGTAGTACTAACAATAGAAATGATAAGTAATGACGATGTTACAAGCAAGAGAGATGCGTGAAGTTTTAACAACACATCGAAAACCAAACAAACAAACAAGTTATACAGAGCTGAGCCAATCTTCTTTACAACTAACTGCCTCATCTAATATAATCTTTATATAAATAATTATGATAGAAGTCAAACTCAACTTGAAAATATTATTCAGACTTCTTATTCGATTCAGCATCACTAACTTCAAAAATTTAAGCTGATAGACAGAGAATACGTCAAAAAAGTATAGTCACTTTATCAAGTTTTAACAGATATGAAACGAATTTAAATTCACAACTACACGTATATAGAAAGGAGAGAAGTGAAAATAAGCGTAATTATGATGAAATCGACGTATTTAATTTTAGAATGCAATCATGCAAACAGTAAAAATAGGAGGAGCAATAAAAGTAGCAGAACTGAGATAAATTACAAAGTGTAAACCTCATCTTTAGCATATAAACTATCAAGTGTAAAAATTTAATAAGAATAGAAAATATAGTGAATAAGTAGATAACTATCAAAGTGAAATCGACTACAGATTTTGAAGCAATTCCAGCTTGAGTGTAGTTCTACGGGACATTACTATGACAAAGGTTAATTAGAGAAATAACTGACCAGTAGGTCAACTGATAAATAGAAAAGGGAATGGAATTAGTCTAATAAATATTAGTTAAATTATATGTGTATAGTTAATTCAGATCAGATTAGATAAACATAATTAGACTTTGCTATGATAAGATTGCAAAACTGACTGGTCATAAGATGAATAAGTGATGCAAAAAGCAATATTTGCATATATGCAGATCATTAATAAAATAAAATATGAAGACAGGCAACGAGCGAGAAAACAGATGCTTAAATTCAAACGTCTATACACTTGCTGTCTACGACTGACTGCGTGAGTGAATGAATGAGTAATGGATGTCTCGCCGTAAGCAACAACTGACTAACATTCATTGCTATTGTCTTCACTTTTGGTCTACTACTAGACCACTGCTTGTAGGCGGAGCCGGATATAATGTATTCACGTGACAGCTTAAGCACCACTATGACGCATTACACATTCACCGTTAACTCTTTATTTCGTAATACTCAAAGACAGCGTATTTCATAATATTCCAGAAAAATCTAATGAATATTTGTGGTCCGTTTAATTTTCACTAAACAACAAATAATATAGTGAATATACTACTAACAAATAAACACACACACACACACACACACGTAAACACGTGATCCTAAGAGTACCACTTCATCTTTGCATATTGCCGCTCCAATTCAAATGTAAACACATATGACAACAGCAGGAGAGTGTGCGCATGCGTGCATGTATGCGAAGGGACCAACTCAATCAGCCACAGTGCCAGTCAGTGATCCTCGCACTACATCGTAACCGGTTTCGTAGTGACCTTAGGGTCTATCGATTCAACAATTGATAACTGGTCATTTCTCGAACTCACTCATCTATGATTTAACCAGTTATCAATTAATCTATATCTTCTCTGGCTAAATAAATGACCACAGTCACTGATGTTACCATCATTGCTATTTCTTGCAAAATTTGCATAAATGAATTCTAAGCACTCGCTTCAACTTCTATAACTATACTTCACATTATTTCAAATACTTAAAAACTGATTACGTTAATACTTTTCCACTTTTTTCCAGCAAAATCGCGCAAAAAAATGAATTACACACATTACTTTATTGATAGCTTGCAGACATACTTTCTTCTGATTAACTAATTGCAGCAAACGAGTTTTAGAAAGCTGAAAAAGGAAGAAAATGGCTGATGACTGACAGACGAGTAACAGATGCTTCTTCAAGATTTATACGATTTTGCCGTAGTATGTAAATGACATGTTTTACTTTTGTAATTCATCATAATCTTACATATTCAATAAATTAACCACAAATATAACGTCAAAATTGATAATTACGGTTTTTAATCTTTTATAGATATTTTAACTATATGTATACATGTATAATATATACGTGAGAATTGCGCTTGTTTGTTACATATTTACGATGTAGTAGTAGGTGTTATCATCAATCAGAAACAAGCTCGACTCACTGTTGTTGATAAACAAAGTCGGAAATTGTTGTACGAAAAGAGGAAGCACAACATAAATAAAGGCATGAAAGAAGAAAGTTGGGCAGACGTAAACTTCACGTGGTTCCCATTAGTAATGGTCATCACTGGAGGAGCGTGAAAGAATAACAAAAGGAATGAGTAAAGAATACTGCAGATACGTGCAAGATTTGAATTGTTTACGTAAATAACTCTTCGAAATGAAGTATTGCAAGTATAAAGATGTCACTACAAAATGACAAGAAAGTTAGTTGAGGAAAGAATAATTTTGAATGTGAGGGTCAAAGCAAGCGGTCACTTGGATAGTAGTATGAGCAGTGCCAGGTGTATCTCATTTATTTCCATCCTCTCATTGAATTCTTTCTTCTCTTATACTTCTTTCTTCTCTTTTACTTCTTTCTTCTCTTATACTTTCTCTTTCTCTACTTGTGATAAGGCGAAAAGTCTTTTTTCATTTATTTATTTCTCGCGTTGTCTTCTCGAAATAGAAAGGAAGTAGGTAAGAGCTTCCTTCCCTCTGAATACAGCTGGAATTGGGAAGCAGATGGATGGCACTTGACCTTTTCGAGTAACCTAAGTACCGGCGCATAAGTCACGATATTAAACAGCTAACTGACCACATGTGTTTACCACAAAGCATATAATAGTAACAAAATATACAACCCCCTTACTTATTAAATCTTGCCTATTTTCTAGTCAAGCAAAATCTTAAGCTTTAACTCTAAATTGTAATTTTTTTGTTTGCAACGAATACAAGACCAATGTTTTCAAGTAAAAAAAGATAATGCAATTTAATTGTTAAAAGTCGTAATAATTGTGCTTTTTACGTGACCTTTTGTGGACAGTAGTACGAATTAACTGAAAATTGACGTTGTAATGTATAATTTGTAACTGCAGAATTTTAACTAAAGTTATGGTTTTATTATGAAGAAGAAAGTATTGAGAGATGTTTCCCAAATGGTACGGGAAGGTGGTATCGAGGCTTCAAGGGTTTTTCCGAGTCATTTCTCTGGGTGGTACGGGATGGCGGTGTCTATATCTCTTGCACCTCTATTTCTCTTGAATGTACACAGACATATACATGCACCACTCACATATAAGATTGTTAATAGCTCGCTAAGAGGAGGAAAGTAGTAAGACTGGACTGTGATAAATAACAACAATAATTAGCATAGTGACCACTTTTCTCGGAAATTCAGTACTTGAAATTAACTCTGTGATCGAATATGCATATGCAGTTTTGTTCATGCACACTGCAATTATATATTCTTTCTTACTTATAATGTAAGCAAAGCAAGAATAAGCTACTCAAGTATAGAAGTACTTAATAACTGATTAAAAATGATTGTGGCAAATTTTTGAAAATTTAAATTTTCTTGAACAATTTATGAAACTTGTTAGATAATGAAGAACAAGTTGAATTAATTAGTTATTACAACTTGTTTGCTAGCCTGCAAGTTTTTCTTACGTTACCGCATTCATATGTAGTTTTTTTGTTTTTTTTTTTTTGGTGTAATTTTATTAAATTGTTTAACATTTACTGTAATGAAAAAATTAGGTTCATTTTAAGTGATTATTAATTTTGTACGTGAAATTATAATCATCCAAAATGGATTAACTCACGTAAGCAAGTCTGGTGAATTATTGCAAAGTTTTTAATTACGTGATAAAATAAGTCTTACTATTACATATTTATTCAATTGCTTGAATAAATTTTCTTACTTTTATTTGTCATTTATGCAAAATATTTGAATTTGCATAAAAAATCTATTAAATTTTTTTTCGTATTTTTTTTTAGTTTGCAAAAAATTGAAAGGAAAACTTCGAGTTTTTATTTTTTTGCTAAATGAATTAAAACGGCTTTTTTTCAAAATAGCAAACAATATCTGTTGCTCAGAAAAAATGAATATCACATTTTCAGATATAATACAATTCACGTAAATTATTTTTGTTAACGCAATTGCTGTAAATTTTTTTTCAATACTACCAGAAAACCAATTATATATATATATGTGTGTGTGTGTGTACATACAATTTCCTCCATATACAGTAAATAATATCCCTAAGAATTACCCAAGAATTAATTATCCTCAAAACATCCTTTTTGTATATGCGTTAAATTTTGTCATTTTGATTAGACTTGAATTAATAAATCTTTAACTGTTCAACTTTATATAAAATTAATAAAAATAAATTGACTTAATCATATCATATCAATTTAAAATCATTGATAATGATATGTTTCAATATGCATATCACTGAAAATTCTTGAAATAAAATAAAATAAATGATAAAAGAATTAATCTTGCTTTGTGCAAAAGCAAACTGAGCAAAAGTTGTGAGGTTAAAGTGAATAATAACTCATAATAAAGAATGATAAGATTAGAAGCAATCTGACTCTTACAAAGTGATTAACTTTGATCATCAGCTTCGTTTTGACTTCAAATTTTACTTTTAGTTCTACTTCACAACTGTTTACTTACTTACTTTTCAATGATTAGCACTGCACTACTTTACTGTTTGTTACATTTTAATCAAATTTATGGCCGAAATGTTTCTCTAAGTCCATTTCGAGCTTCTGATCAAGAAATAATTCCAAGTGATAATCAAGGCCCTTATTATGCACAGCCTGAACAAATCGCTCTTAGCTATGCAGGTTCAGCATTCACTTTTTTTAATTAATTAATTTGCTCAGAAATTAATATTAAACTCATTTTTGTCTGATCAAAGCTTGCAGTAAGATTTTATCAGATTGCTACTGGATTACTTTAAGATTTCAAACATATCAAGCACAGGTCATTACAAACATGCATCAATAATTAGTTGATCACTACTTTATTAAGTAAAAATAAATCATTGTTACTTATAATATTTTATAAATTGATTGGTTAGTTTTTGATATGCAAAAAAATTCGCTACCATTTTTTAAATATCACTATACGAAAATTTGATACTAAGAAGTTACACAAACAATAACTTTTTTCGTATTAGTAAGAATGATATAATAAGTAGCCAAAAAACGTTTCAAAAATGAGTACGACTAATGCGTGAAAGAATTCTAAGTGAACTTTTCATCCTTATACAAGCTAAAATTTAAAATTGACCTTCAATATATCACTGAAAAATGAATCACTGATATGAATTGATGAGCTGAAACTGATAATTACTAATACTAATTCAATCATTTTTATGAGATTTGAGAAAAAATTAGGAAAAATTATTTCAGTTTTGATTTATTATTACTTCAAATTTCAATTACTTATCTTATTTACTTGCAAAATTATTGGTAATTAAAAATTTTAATAATTTGACTTCAAAATTTTTAAATAAAAATCATGCATGTCTGAAATTTGAATTGAAATACAACAATACCTACTTATTGAATGCAAAATGTGAGTTATCAAAATGTTATTATGGTGTGGTAGAAATAATCACTGACCTATACCTATACGATGATAATAAACAATTATTTTATTCAAGAAGCAAATTTTTGAAATAAATTAAATAATTGAAATTTGAAGCTGTGAATATCTGATTAGTTACCGCTTACGAAGCTTAAATTCTGTTTTTTTTTTCTCGGTATTAATTTGTAATAATTTTAGGTAATGTATCATCGATGTGGGTTACATGGCTTACCTTTAATAACACCTTTTCATCCATTGTTGAATTTGGTGTAGGAAAATTTCAATGGTCTGTAAAAGGCTATTCTACACTTTTCATTGATGGTGGTGTACAAAAAACTAAACGATATATTCATCGAGTTTTACTATTAAATTTGATACCTGGAACCACTTACCGTATGTTTAAAACTTTTGATTTCGAATTTTTGAAGCAATAATTAATTAATTTTTAGGCATGAAAAATGTACAGTAAAAAATGATTTCTTTTAATTAAAGCAAAGAGATGTCTTTTTTTTTAAATATAAATAAGAAACAGATAGATCAATCTCAGAATTACAACGAAAATATTAATTAAGACTGTGATAAAAATATATTAATAAATATAATAAAACGATTCTTTAAATTCTTTGCTCTACAATATTGAATATGTTCTTATACTTTGTATATTTGCGCAGAGTAATATTTTGAACAAATTTCATTTTCAAAATTTCATTTTATTTACTGATTTTATTATCAGCTATGTTTGCTATTACTTTGCGACTAGTTCTAAAAAGTTAATTAAGCTTAATTAAGTAATGAATAAACCTGATTACTTAGAAACTATTGCTATGTGCATTGTTCTTGCCATACGTGTACACTTACTACGCAGATAGCAAATTTTGTGACAATTTTCGGAGGTAAAATAAAAATTATTATTGTCTGAAAGTTCAATTCCATCTACAAAAACAAATTTATAAAGTAAAAAAAAAATGTTTTTTTAAAAAGATATGCAGATTGAAACTTGATATAAATTGACTTCGAGAAAATTGTGACAATTAAAAAGTACAGAAACGTGATAGCAGACATTTGTTTGATTCTAAACACTTAAGATAGAAACTGTTTTTACGTAAGATTTTTGATATGTGTAAACTTTAATAAATTTGCATATTTAGTATATCATGTTGGCTCGGAATATGGTTGGAGTTCAATTTATCAATTCAAAGCTTTACAAAAACGAGAAAATGGTGGATTTATTTTTGCAGTTTATGGTGATCTTGGAAGTGTTAATGCGCGATCACTTGGAAAAATACAACAACAAGCACAGCGGTCACTTATTGATGTTGTTTTACACATTGGTCAGTTACCAAATTGATTTTTATTTATGCTAATTTTATTGTTTCAATAATATGCAAAAACTTTGTTAATTGTTATTGACTGTTTTAGCCACTGTTTTGGTTGTTTTTATATGAAATAGTTTAACTGATAAAAAAATAAAAAATGATGTAAAATCTTCTAAAAAATATTAACTCAAGTAAAACGAATAAAAAAAGTACAGTACAGCAATCAAATATTTCAGGAGACATAGCCTACAATTTAGATACTGTAAGTTTTATCTTCTTATTAAAACGTTTTAGTTCAAAATAATTTTTTTGAACATTTAAAGAGTAAAATTGGCAAAATAAAAAAAAATTAAAGAAAAAATTAACGAAAAATATACTTTTTATTTGACTAATATTTTTTATTGCATTAAGTATTATTTGCTTAATGTTTCTAATTACCTCTCAGGATGATGGTAAATTTGGTGATCAGTTTGGTAGGCAAATCGAACCTATAGCAGCTTATGTACCGTATATGACAGTAGTTGGTAACCATGAACAAGCTTACAACTTTTCACACTATGTTAATCGATACACTATGCCAAACAGTAATCACAATTTTTTTTACAGGTTATTTTTAGTTCCTAATTATAATTACTAAAGTAATCTTGCATATCATTTGCAACAAATAACGACATTAGATAATTGTAAATATATCATGATAAAATATTATTATCCCTAACTTATTAATAAACTAATAATATCCTCAAAATTTGAGCTAAAAATTAATTACCAAAACAAAGTTTATTTTTTTATTAAAAAAAACTTTGTTTTGATATTTGATTTTGCAAATTCTTAATTTTTTGCTGCTAATACCATTTTTTAATACAAAATGTTTTATAAGATATATATTTCCTGCACTTTTTTCTAATGTAATAAAAATACTTTTACAAAAGTAACTTCAAAAATTTGACTTAATTTCATGCTTATTGTAGAAAATATATAATTTTATGATCATTTATGCCAGTTCACAATTATTTATTCATTTACAACGAATTTAGTTAATAATTGTAACTTTTTTTGGTACATTTTTAAACACTTTTCATAATTATTTGCAATTTTAAAGCTATTTTTTTGATTATTTAAGTTTTGATTTGGGTTTGGCTCACTTTATTGTTATCTCAACGGAGTTTTATTATTTCACCGCTGAATATGGTTCCATACAATTAGAAAACCAATGGAAATGGTTGATCGAAGATTTAAAGGTGTGTTTTGCTAATTAAAAAAATACCTATATATATACCTGTCCAAAAAAAGCCTTTATCTTCATTGCCATTGAAATATATGCCTCAATTGTTAGCTTGCGCACTTAAATCGAGCCAAATATCCTTGGATTATAACCATGGGTCATCGGCCAATGTACTGTTCGAACTATGATACAGAAGACTGCACTCAATATGAATCACGGGTGATAAATTGATGATTATTCAAATGAAACGTATTACATAACAGTGATAAAAATAATAATACAAAAAATAGAATAATTATAAAATAATTGTTTTCATGTAAAAAATAATTTTTCCTTAACTACATTGCAAAAGCATTAAATTAGTTAAAAATTTTAAAAAAAAATTTGAAAAATAAAAAATTATTTCACGTAGTTGCAAGGTCAGATTCACTTTAAGATTCGATCAGGTATGCCTCAAACACATGCTTATGGATTAGAAAAATTATTTTACACATTCGGAGTTGACTTAGAAATTTGGGCTCACGAGCATTCTTATGAACGTATGTGGCCTTTATATAATCGTACTGTAAGTTTTTAGCAAATCATTTTAAAATATTTTTTTTGAATAAAAAAAGAAATTTGTCTTTTTATTTTTTTAGTTTTTATACTTATTTTTTTTAGGCAAATTATTGTTTATTAATTATACAACTATTTTAATAAATTTGTGCAATATTTTATGATTAAAATAGCTCAAAAAGATTTGCTAAAAAATTTAGTTGTAGGTTTATAACGGTACCAAAGATCCATATGTTGATCCACCTGCACCAGTGCACATAATTTCAGGATCAGCTGTTAGTTTATCAAATCTTATCATTATCTTTAAATTTCTTCCCACAGAAAATGAATTTTAACTTTTATCAAATTTTTTCGACTGTCGTTTTTAAAAATATTGTAAGCAATTATTGAAAATACTTCACTTTTTGTTCTTACATTTATTACTAATATATTTCTTGACGTACTACATCATTAATTAAATTTTAAAACTTGAATACGTTAAAAAATTTAATTACTTTAAGGGATGTCAAGAATATACAGATCCATTTGTTACAAATGTTCCACCTTGGAGTGCATACCATTCATCTAATTATGGTTTTGGTCGTTTGCATATTCATAATTTCACGCACCTCTATTACGAGCAAGTGTCTGCAGCGAAAGTAGTTTTAATTTTATTTATTAAGATTAATAAAAGTTTTAATTGTTTATAAAATTTTTGTTTTCCTTTACTTTTGCAAAATTTAAACGATTTTCCTATGCTTGCTTGTTTTATAATTTAATAAAATAAAATTCCTCTTGCATAGTTCCACTGAACTTTGTGAAATTTAAATTCAAATTTTCAAAAAATAATTTGGAAAATTGCTCGAAAATCAAACAAAGTGTAATAATTTTTATGTTTTTTTGATTAAAAACTAAACAAAAGGATGAAAATTTACATATTTTAGGAAGAAGTAGAAGATTACTTTTGGTTGATAAAATATCGTCATGGGCCATTTTTGAGTAGCCATCGTAAGCAGCTGAAGAAATTCGGTCAATTTGTACCTTACAATTACTGCAATCATAAATTAGAATGTACAGTTAATAAACAGTAAACTATAAAACTTTTAAAACAACTTCAAAATGATTTAAACTCAAAGTCGTGTAGTTCAACAACAAAAATCATTGTTAATCCTTGACTTATCTATTTGTAAAAACTTTTATTGTATATTATTTTTTTTAATGTAGCTTTTGTAATGTTTTGTTGAAATCACAAATCTGTTTTGGAATTCATTTTATTATTCTCTGGTAAATGTTTAGAAATGAATTTACTGCTTCATACTACATAATTTGCATATTCTGACCATATTGGATGTACTGTTTTTTAGTTTGCAAGTAATTACCCAGCTAATATCTAATTAATGAGTAAACAAGTAATTATGAATTAAATAGAGTTTTTGCAAAAAATTTATATAATAACTCATTTTAAAATTATTTTAATACAAAATTATGAAAATACACACGAAGTGATTTAATTTTGATTCAAATGTTTTTTGGTTGAAAATAGCAAACTTTAAATTGTTGCCAAAACTTTCGACTTTAGTTTTTTATTATATTCAGTAAAGTTCGAATGGAAACTTTATTCAAGACGGACACAGTAGTTTTAAATTTAAATTTAAATAAAAGAAATTTGGTATGAAATTAGAGCGATATCCATAAACGTTGAATACCAGGATTTTTATAATATTTTCAGCAATAATCCATCGAAATTCACAAATTATCAATAGATCATGTTGAATATTCTTGAAATTACTTCAAATTTCGAGTATAGAAATATTTTTAGCTCATAGTTTGAACTAAAATTAACTGATTCAATGGAAAACAGTAAGACGTAAAGTGAAGTTATCAATGCAAAAATTTATTATTTTTTTATTTGTAATTTAAATAATTGCAAAAAATGACAATAAGAGATCAAATATCTAAGTGAGATTAATTTTATTTATTTTTTAATTATGCAAATTTTTATCTTACAGAAGCTAACAAACTCAAT